TGGAAAAGTGCAAAAAAGTAATAAAAACATTTTTCAGATAAATTTAACTAATAAAAGGAAAAATCACTAGTGGAATTCTATAGAAAGAAGGTAGCCTTATAAACTGGAATAGTTTGAAAGCCTGTAAAAGGTTGTATTAGGCTATTGCAGAAGTCGCAATCCCTAGATCATGCTAATATGGAGAAATTAACTTCTTGTGGCAAAACTTTAAGCTGGACAAAACATTTGAATATGTGGGATTGTAGAGCAACCTGAGTTCTACAAAATGAGACGTAATGCGACTCTGACAAAGATTCCATTTAATTATGGCAGACTCAACAATCTTTACGCACTATTACAAGTACTTAAACAAAAAACATATGTTGTAAGTTTTATTATTTTTCCGTACTGATCCTTTTTTACCCAAAAATTTCCAATCGTATGAAATAAAACTTGGAGTGTTTCTCTATCAAACAAAAAGACGACCCTGAAGTTTGGTTAAGAAATGGCGGAGTTATTAAGATTTTTTTTCCCGTCGGACTTTTGGGACACCCTGTAGAGAGTAAACTTACTACGTTCACTGAGCTCATGAGCTTCTACGGCCATTCTGTCCGTGACAATTTATTTATGCTTTAACATTGACGTTATGAATATATATATATATTCCTCGTGTTTATCTCGATTTGCGAATAATCAACTTCTAATGGCATCTGGAACAGTATTTGGCCAGTTGGTTATTTATGAATTGTGTAATAACGAGTACGATCAAGTTTTTGAAGAACTACTTCGTTTATCTGATCATAACGTAAGTGCGTGTAAGTGGCTGTGTGCATCCATCTCCTAATTTTATTCTCTAATTTATGACGGGAGCTATATTTAGTATTAGCTATAATAATGAAAACTACTCTTTATGCACTGTTGGCGATGACAGAACTGTTAAGGTATACAAATTCGATAAACAATTAACACTTGAACCTATCTGTTCGTTTTCTGGTCATGAAGCACGAATATGAAAGTCATGTTTAACACAATCGACAATAATAACAGCCGATGAAGATTCATCCATTCGTGTGTGGTCATACAATGATCAAATGTTACATCGTTATGTCAATTATTGTTGTAAAAATGTTTGTTCAATTGATACAATTAATTGTAATTTCTGTTGTGAGTGGATGGAGTGATGGTGGATTGAGGCTCTACCATTTACATACAAATTCGCTTGATTCACGTCATTCATTATTAGAAATAAGCGATGACTTTCCTCAAAATATTTGTTTTATCTCAAGTTCATCGGTTATTTGTCATATGGATAACGGAAAATTGATGAGCTTGAATTCAGATGAAAGAGAGAAAAATGAGTTATTTTATGATGGTACGAATAATTTGAAGAACTATGAACCAATGATGATAAGTCAATATTATAAACAATTGGCTATTGGGACATTAAGTGGACTCGTATTGTTGTTTGATCTAGAAAAATATATCGCTGGTGGTGAGAATATTCGACAGCTTCAAGCCGATACAAATAAAATATTTCAAGTATTGTGGCCGAAAATTATTGTTAATGGTGAAGATTATATCAAAGAAGAATCATGACTAGTTTGTCTAACGGATAGTCTGATGGTATGTAAATGCCTCTGAGTACATCAACGCTTGTGGTAATTATGGCAACGAAATAAAGACCCACATTTGATAACAAACTGCTTTCACCGTTGTTCCTTTTAACGATTGAAACTCAGTAATCAATAAACCTTTTCCTCTTCTAGTTTTTGTACGTTGTTGCTAGTATACCCACAATTATTCAATGCTTTCAATTACCAAAAGGACGGCAATCGTGGCCAAACACATACTTGTGATTGAAACAGGAAAATTTTTTTGTCATTGATGATAGACAAGGTAATATTGCTTGTTATACATTAAATAATACTGACGACGTTTTATCATACTCACAACTATTTCATGAATCACACGGAAAAAATGACGTATCATCTATTGATCTATTCTACGATGATCGATTGATATGTTCATGTGGAAAAGATGGTGTTTATAATTTGTTTGAAGTATGCGAAGAACCGCCTTCACTCACATTGAAATCATCGTCGACATTATCAACTAGCATTGATATGTTAAATAGTCTATTATAAACATCAGCAGCTCAAGACACACAGCATTTATTTACCTGTTATCAATCAAGTAAATTCTGTCTAATTTTTTTTTTTGCTTAACGACACCAACGCATGGAACAGAAATAACTTGTGTTTAATTATTTAAACCAGAAATATTGCATAGTGTTGATGAGAAGACTGTTTGATTACGCTTCGCGGGATCATGATCATGTTTCATGAGGAATATTTATTCAAACTTAGATACTTTTCCAAACTCATAAAAACTGAATTTCTACATAGTCGTTTCTACTTACAAGCGAGAAAGACGCTATTTGTATCCCATAACTTCCGATGTAAGAAAATCCCTAAATATTTACTCCGTTTTTTCATTAAATGACAGTTTTTTTACAGATCGCTTATGACAGAAAGAATAGATTTGCATTTTTTTTCGAAGTGAAGGCAGAGACTTGAAAATGTCTGTTCAAAGTAGAATTTTGACAAGACCTTTCAATAATCAATCCAGTTCTCCAAACTCAGAGCGGCGATAGGATGGCCCTTATGAATAAGTAGATGTTCAAAAGCGCCCTCTTCAAACTGGGAGTCAAAAGAGATCTTGATTTTCACTGATTTATGTGTCTGGTCTTGGGTTTTAAGGCTCAGGACTGGTAACCTGTGATTTTGTTAACCATGTGATCGTATCGAAGATACGTTTTTTGGTTACGCTCGAACTGATGACAATGTGTGTTTTCCAAAATCGTTCTGAAATCTGGTGAAAAACGAGATTTATAAAATTTATATCCTACCCAAAACACATTAAAATGATCTCAAAGCCTGGGGTAGAGTTAATTTTCTCGACTAAATGCGATTATGGAATTCAAAATCTGAAAAACTTTATTGATGAAGTATATTTTAGAAACTCATTCGGAAAACTATACAGTTTTGTAAAATGTCATTGTCATCGTGTATTTGGTTCATCACATGATTAGAAATTACGTCAAGTTTATATAAACTTATGTGAATTCATATATAAATTACATCGTGATATACCTGATCAATATGCATTAAGATTTCTTGGAACACTTTTATCATTAAAAGAAGATCCTGTTATCAATGTTCGGCTGTTGTCGTGATGTACGCGCATCCGTTAGTGGAGTTTATCAAACATGTGGAACTTCTTTATCATCGGAAAATTTAAATGATGATTCAGATAGTTCAATACAAAATAATACAAGTACACTCCGTGGTGAACAAATAAATCAATCTTAGAAACAAATCAAATCAAATTTTCATTCATCCACTGTATGATTTTAGTTTGATTTTATTTGAAATATATTTTAGTTGTTTTAGTCGATTATATTAAATATAGTTTTTTTTTTGTTGGATGACATATCATTTATTTCTCCTTTTTATGTTGATTATTTCTTTATTTTATCGTTAAGATCGATAAACATAACAACACGCACAGATTATTTTCAGTCAAACGAGTAAATTTTCTTTTACCAAGAAATACTTGAGAGTGATTGTTACAGGCTCCGCATTCACATCGTCTTTTTCATTATCGCCAAATCGACCTTTTATACGCTGAACAGAATCGATCCAAAAACTTTTTTTCTGAATAGCCTATTGAATGAATGTACAGGCAGCAAAGTATCTCTTTATTCAAATCACTTTTCGTATTTTGACGCGAACAGTAGCGCGATTTATAACGCGCCACTATTTGCGTCGATTCGCCGAAATCCGAAAATTTGAATAAAGAGATACTTTACTGCCCGTACATTCATTCATTCAATTCGGAAAAAAAATTTGGACCGATTCTGTTCAGCGTATAAAAAGTCGATTTTGCGACAATGCTTTCTTTTTCTTCTTCGTTCATATATCATACATACTATTATCCATTTCAAAATAGAAAGACTATGGCCATTTGTTTAATAACTTTTTCTAGGATGTAGCTATGGAGCTGCGGTTTTCACCAGTCGAAAGAAAAGCGTTGAGGCAATAAGAAAAACCCAAAATTATTGTCCCGAAATCACCTGCAGGTGGTGCACCCTGCGACCTTCCGACGTGTCCGGACCGAGTTAGCGTGGTCTCCGGAGAACCTTTCTAGCTCCGGAACCTTGTAAGCTAACGACCTGGGACTGCTCTAGAAACGAATATCTCAGTCCGGGCTACCTGCCTGTCGC